TTCACAGGCTTGGGGAGGTTTTAGAACAACTTGAGTAGTGTAAATTCAAATAACAGACCTATGTGAGAACAGCCCTAAGATTATAAATCATTAGGAAGAGACTTCCATCCACTCTCTCAGCACCCGTTGAGCTAACTACCTACACAAATAGGCAGATTTTTTTCCTAGTCTACCTTCTCTCAAGATGGAGTCTTTTATAGGTTCTGACTTTATATGTGAGTCTCAATTCCAAGCCCACATCTTTCATGTACCCAAGCCTCATCTCTTGTCCCTGGATGGCTGTTAATCTAAGCATCATTGTAACTAAGCCCATCAACCTACTGCAGCATCCACTCATAAACTTACCATTCCGGTTTTCAGTTTCCTCTCTGTTTTGGCCCCTGAGATTTATCTTACTTTCTTGTAAATTCTACAATGTGCTTGAGAATATTTGTTTGATTCTGTCCAAAATTTCTAGGTGTTTTGTAGTAAGAGCGTTTTCAGATCACCTAGTTTACTGCTTTTCCAGAAACAGAAGTCATTAAGGCTAACTTTTTAACATCAAAAATTTTAAAGTCCTGACATGCACTCACATACTATCATCATCACCACCACCACCACCATCTTTATCATCATCATCTTCAACATCACAGCTAACATTTAATTAAAACATGTTTCAGATACTGAGCTTAATGCTTTATATAGATTTTTTTTAATTTCCATAGTCCTTTAAGGTAATCGTTATAATTTTATAATCTATTTGTTGAAATAGATTATGTATTCAGTAAAACTTACAAATAATGTTTTTATATAATCACAATAGCACCTCACATTTTTTAAATAGTTGCATGTATATATGCAAGATATACATTTTATCTCACCTACAGACTCTGTTAGGTGAGCGTACGGATTTAGGACTGTTCTTACAATATATTATCACTCCTCTCCCCACTTCACTCCCCTCCACATGGGTCTGAGACCCTAAGTGGAGATTCAGTGCTGTATATAAATATAAGAGAAAAACTGAACAGCTACCACATTCCAAGTACTGGTTTCCACAATGTTATCTATATCTCGTTTAAACTGTATAACTAAAATAGTTCTGGTGGAATAGGGCTATTGTCATAACTTTACAGATGAAGACACTAACATTAAAACAGGTAAAATTGTTCATTCAAGATCACACGAGCAGGCAATATCAGATTCCGGACTGAACTCCTGGTCTCCCAACACTAACTGCTGTGGCCTTAGGCCACATCACTGAATCATCTCTACTACATCTACTTTTATGTTCTAGTGTAGCTGGGAAGGTTGTATTGCACAATTTTAGGGAGTGCCTTTTACACTGTTGTCATCACAGACTTCTATATTTATTTTGACAATTTCCCATCAGATGACAGTATATCATCTTGAGGAAAGGGTGCATTTTTCTAATTTAAATAATAGTAGCAATAGTTCATAAGTGATCTTCAGTTTCTTTGTTGTGGGAAAATCACCACCTTCTAGGAAATGTATTTTGTTTAGTGGCTTTAGTTCCCATCACAAGGCAAAACCTAGCACTTTGAAACTTTCACTAGACTTCCTATCCTATCCCTGCCCTATGAAGCCTCAGGAAATAAGTGCTAGCCCATTAAGCCAACAACTCTCATATTCTTGTGTCATAAAAATCTACTTGGGAAACTTTTAAGAGACACATACCTGAATTATGAACTTTTAAGAAACTCACACCTGAAATTATGATTCAATATTTCTAGAATGGGAAATAGGAAGCTGTATATTTGGCAAGCACAGTAAGTAATCCATGAAAAAAACCACTGGCAGACAGTTATTATGCCTCCTCAATCTCTTAGGCAGTTCAAACATTCTGTTTTCAATTTAATATTTCTTAACTCTAGCTGTCTTCAAAAGATACAATATAGCATAAAGAACTCAAAAATTGCATTCTCTGAAACTTATAATTAGAAAATAGACATTCATTTCAGAAAGTAATTTCAGAATGACCCCCTAGTCCTCCAGTGCATTCATATTTGATTAGTACCCAGTTTCTTAGGACTTGTATTTCTGTGCATTAGAAAAATATATTTTCTATAAATATCCTGAAGATATCTTTCTATAATCAGGAGCCAATATAGCACAGTGGCTAAACACCTGGACTTTAAAGGCAACACATCTAAGTTTAAATCCAATTTCTGTGCGACTCTGAGCAAGCTGGATGCAGTAGTGAAAATAAACACTATGACTACACAAATCAACTTGAGTCAGTTGCACCACCACAATACTGAGATAAAAAGCAAGCTGCAGAAGAATACACACATTATGACAGCACTTATATAAATTGAAAAACAATACTCTCTACTGCCCAAGAATACATACATACATAATGAAAGTACAGTACTAAAATGCCTGGACTTTATATCACTACATTTAGAACAGCAGTTACTCCTACACAGGGAGCTGGGGGGAAGCGATGTGATCAGGAGGGGTTAGTGAAGGAACCGAGTTTCAACTGTTTTAATATTAACAATGTTTTGTTTCCTTACACCTGGTAGGTGGGGAAATGGGTCATTGTTATAATAGTCTCTATCACTTTATATCATATATTTCAAATTGATTTTTTCAGAGAAAATATAGTAATCATGAGGATTAACATTTAGCAACAGGAAAAAATGCTGATAATATGATGTTAAGGAAAAAAAACACCAGAAGGCTATTTTTTTAAAAAAAAAAAAAAAG